GTCGCGTAATATATAAAAATTTTCGCTTGTTTATTCTTTCAAAGAGCAAGAAATATGTATATTATGTAACTGTTTTTTCCGTTATTGTAAATAAAATAATTTAATTGTTATAAATGAATTATTCAAACTATGAAATAATGTTTGGGAATTCAATCACTGATTCAATTGTTATAAGTAAATAGTTAAAATTGTTAAATAAGGTAGAAGAATATCATCGAAATGCATTATTTTAGAATTTGAATAATTCATTTGAAAGAATTGAATTATTTTATTTCTACAATATTTCTAGACATTATTTAATAATTTTCGCGACTTCTATATTACGATGAAACAATTAAATTAATTATTTTAGTATTTCATTTAATAATTCAAAGTAATTTTTTGAAGTATATTGTTCAAGATTGTTTTAAATTATCATTTAAAAATTTTAAATAACATTTGTAACACATTTGTAAATAAATCTTTTAAATGAATATGAATAATATATATAGATATTTAATTATAAATATAAATAATATATATAGATATATAATTAATAAAATAAATAAATTATTTATTTAATTAATAAAGTAATTAAATAAATAAATATGAATTTTAAATAAATGTAAATTTTTGGTCCCAATTTTCATCAATCGTTTTAAATCGTTATATTCCATCGTTGTATTCATTGATGAAGGAATGTACCGCCATGTTCAATTTAATAAATAATTCTCGAAGCAAATGTGGGAATACTGTCCATATTTTTTAATTTCAAAGTTCATCACTAGTAGTGCTGCGTGCAAAACTTGCCTCAATCGGTACGACAGAATGTGACACGAAAATAAGGGGTTGAAAAATACATTGTATGCGAGGTCTATTCATGTACCTCGTGACTTCACTGTGATTTTGTTGATTTTTTTCACAGTCGATATTGCAGAGCGTGAAAGCTCAAGTACAGATGTCATATCTGTTTTACAGGTCTATGGTCAATATTTCTACTTATTATCGATTATCGAACCAGCAATCGAGAAATCGCAAATTGCGATATACGTTAAGAATGTGTGAGTACAGATTCGTACGTATCTATGTAGCATACACCGCATGCATTAGTAACGTAACCTTATTTTGTGGTCGTGATATGTCAAAAACATTTACGTGACATATCGATATATGCGCGTATGTATTTACATACATATAAACAGTTTCTTGTAACGGAGAAGCTTCGACTTTTTGATTTCGTGCTTATGAAAATTTCAATTTTATACAACACTTTTGACCAAATGACGTAAACCTGGTAAATCCATGCTTGTTTTTGATGTATGTTTGCCACGAGTTCTGTTACTTTACTTGAATAATTCTTTTAAATGATTTTTTTTTTCTTCGTCAGGTAAAAATACGATACATTAACCGTATATAAGCGATTGTTTATAAGTAACAGACGAACAAAATGATCTTTCCTATTTTTAATCAATCAACCATCGTACAGTCATTCCAAATATTGAAATATTATGTATACATAACGAATGTCTAAAGAAGTGTATACTGCGTAACGAAGCTGTACAAAATGTAATGCAAAAGTGATTGAGATTCCATGAGAAAGAATAAAAGAGTGGGAAGAAGAAAGGAAAGGAAAGATAAGACATCGAAAGGAACAGAAAAGAAGCGTAACTGAAAGATATTCTATCAGTGTCTTGAAAATTGCAGAATATCAAAGATGAATTAAATCAATTTATCCGCGATGAATTGACTGGAAGGTAACTATTACTATTTTAAAGGTTTGCATTCCATTTCTGTATTTTCTTATATATTTTAAAAAACTGGACCTTATAGGAACCAAGAATATATCCCATAACATGATACAACCTTTTCTCGAGGAAGGAGCCTGGTGTTACTGGGTTGTCTCTATCGGAGCATTATTATGCTTCCTTGGTCTCATTGTTGCTTGTATTTGCAGCTGTCGTCGTAACGAAAACAAGTAAATGATCGTACATTTATAATCATGAATATGTAATCTTCTTTGTGAAAAGTAACATTGTGTATATTTCTACTAACGATAATAGAATTATATTTCATTAGAATATGGAATTATATTTTATAGAATTATTTTACGTTATAACTAAGAATGCAATTTTTCGCAATATAAGGATACATTCAGTTGCAATCCGTTTAAATAGGAATGAATTTCTTGGCCTTGCCGGAATGGTAACTTTAAATGATTCTGACAACGATGGCTTTAATGGAATTCCAGTGTCGGATACTCTTCGTGTAACGACGCAAGATATTATCGACAACGGAAAAAGGTTCCTATTTTAATGTTAATTTAGTCCTATATACATTTTGTTAAATATAAATTTTCATATATCTTTTGAAATGTCATGTATCTTTCAAAATAATCGCTATTATGAACATCATGTGAATTAATATTATATTCTATGAAATTAAGAAACTTGCATTATACACTGTACTATGTACTATAGGTCGACTAGTGCCAATAGAAGTCTTCCAGATATTCCAAAAGATAAAGAAAAAAGACATGAACATACAAGTACATCTGTATCTCAAGATATCTATGAAATCACTGAGACGATCGGTGATCAATCGGAATTGTACGCAACAGTACGGGACACAGGTATTTCAAATAAAATAAAATAACGCGTATTAGTAATTTATTGAATGTTAATTCTACCGAGAACATATTAGAAATATACCACTTTTATTCTAACGACATTTTGTTTTAATGCAACAGGGAAAGAACAGATATCTGAATTGGATGTGCCAGAAGTTTTACATCAGAATCCATCGACTCAAGAAACTTCGGATGTACAATATTTAAGATTTGCATCATCTCCTAATTCAGACAATGGTACAAGCACAAAAACAATTATAAAATCATCACGTTTCTTTTTTACTCATGATATTTGACATGTGTTAACTATTGTGATGTTTGTTTCAGTTGAACATCCATATGCCCAAGTTCAAAATGTTCAAAAAACCGAAGTTAACAAATCAAATCGGTAATGATTGCAAAAATTAAAACTATAATTGTACTACAGCTTGTTTTTCTACAATTATGCAATATATATGTTCTCACTTGCATCTTGATACTGAAAACAAGTATCAAATGTTACAGAAATAATATCAAACAAACCATTGATGTCGATAAACCATCGACGTCTACATGTCAAAGCAATGGGAACCCAGTTGCGCCACCAAGGACCCGTCGATCCTCGTCACATAATTCACTTTTGTCTGCCGAAAGTGGCCCGTGTGACATTCAAGCAGCCAATGCCATATCTGGTGGAGTGCAAGCTAATCAAGATTTGCCTTACATGACACCACCATTGTTAATGTTACTGCCTCAACCACCACAACAACCACAGTCAAATAGTCCACAACAACATTTTAGCGGAGATTCTCAAGATTCTAGTAAATATTCACTTCTTTATCGCATAAAGACATAATTTTCAACAATATTTTTTTAGACTTATTTTCAATGTAGCAGAGCTATATATAAATATATTCTCCTTTCTTTTTCATTTCATGTAGAAGGATATACAAGCATCAGCGTAAGAGAGCCCTTGGCTAACATAATTGCACAAACAAAGACAATTGGTCGACAGACCCAATCCATTCGGCCTCTCACGGATCCTCATTACGCGACAGTATCGGATGACTCTGGTATATACGTACATGTATATATACATGGATTTTTAGTATCAACGACGATTAACTTTTAGTTTTTTCTTCCTTATTTTTCCCTTTTTTTTTATTGTTGATAAGCGTTGTTTTACTTGATAGATGAAATGTATGCTGCAATCGATGAACAAGATAAGGTATATACTAGCGGTAGTGAAACATACGCACAAATACAACCGACAGTGACAGAAGTTCAGGGAGTACAAAACGAGCAAATATTCTCCCGCGTTCCCTCTCGTTCCGATGAAACTTATCCCGCTCCGCAACCACCAAGCGTTGATAGCTTACGGCACGTTGCACATGCCCATTCAAGACAAGGTAAGCCATCAATAATAATTGTTGGTAATTCTCCTTTTT